CCAGGAGAGGGTTTGCCCATTACTTGACAATCTGATTGTTACTCCTCTTGAGGTTGAGTCTTTGCTTAAAGAAATTAAGCCTAACAAAGCCCCAGGCCCGGATTGTATCCCCCCTGGGTCCTAAAAGAGTTCTCTCATATTTTAGCCAACTCCTTGTGCTCAATTTTTAACTGTAGTATAAGAGAGGGGTTTATCCCAGAGATATGGAGGTGCGGACGTAGTTCCGATTCCAAAGTGTAAACCCCCTAGATCAGTTGAAAAAGACCTCCGGTCAATTTCCTTAACATCATGTACAGTTAAAATTTTAGAGAGGGTAGTTGGTGAAAGAATATGGGAGCAAGTTAAGGATAAAATCATCCTTAACCAGTTTGGGTGCTCTAAAGGGGTATCAACGGTTGACGCATTAGTTAACTTTCTCCATGAATGCTACAAAGCTACTGATGTTCGCCAAGAGGTCAGAGTGCTCCTTCTTGATTTTAAAAAAGCTTATGACCTGGTGAATGTCCTTATTGATAAACTAAGACGGCTTGATGTTGATTTTGCCTTAATTTCCTGGGTGGCATCTTTCCTTTGTGACAGAAAGCAGCGTATTAAGCTTGGATCTGTTTTTTTTCTAGTTGGGTTTCCTTGAATGGGGGGATACCACAAGGCTCTTGGCTGGGGCCCATACTTTTCATTGTCTTTGTCAATGACCTCATGGCCGGAGTGTCGTGCATCAAATATATGGATGACACTACCGTCTATGAGCGCATTGGCAGAGACAGATCTAGTGGGCTCCAGTCAATTCTTGATATGGCAGTTGATTGGACTCTTGATAATCATATGGTTTTCAATACCAATAAAACTGTTGAAATGCTAATTAGCTGCAAATCTAATAAATCAAACTTTGACCCTCTCAGTATCAATAACAGTATAATTAACAACGTTAATTCTTGCAAACTCTTAGGTCTTAATATTTCGAGTGACCTGTCTTGGCAATTGCAAGTGGATACTATGATTTCCAAGGGTAATACCAGATTGTATTCTGTCTCTTATACACATCTAGAAAGATTGAATGGATATCGGGTGGTTTGGAGCTATCAAGGATCTTGGCCCAGTGATGGTAAACGTGGGTCAGCGGGCTAGGACACGAGTATCTTTTACGAAATCCAAATTGGTTGTTAGAAATAATAACAGCATGTGGATGCCTATGTTTATTTTTTTTCCAAATATTGACAAAACACAACATGATAAAAAAGAGAAAAAGAAAAACTGCAACATGCATTTGTCTTTAATTATTAAATATACCATTGTATAAGAATACAATGCAGTCTTTTGTACACTAACATCATGAAAGTATAAAACCAAATTTTATACTAACATGATCGTATGGTCTTTACTATTGACCTACTTTTTAAATCCTCTTGCATGTCCATTTTACAATACAGAACATCATCTGTGTCAATACATTTTAAAATATCTGTCTCTTATACACATCTAGATGTGTATAAGAGACAGACGCTGTACCTCGCTATTACCATTGCAGCCATAGTTCAAGTCTCACTAATAACGTCTCAGTGAACTTGGTTTTCGTTTTTTTTTTTCACACTTCATTTTCTCCACTTCATTAAAATTTT